CTAACTAACTGAAGATTAATGACAATCAAAACCTTTACTGCCAAACCAATGGTTAGAGTTAGGGTGCCCTTATCATTTGGGTCTAAGAATTTTTTTTCTTTCTTCTTTTTCTTTTTTGGTAAGGGTCAGTTGTTTCCTATATGTCAATCTCTCAAGCTATCCTGCCATAAAGCCATGCTTCTCTCTGCTTTCTTATAGCCCAGCCACCCCAACACAACAGAAGATGTGGGGTATATCAATTAATACAATACTGAGCAGATATGGGGAATCAGCAGCTGTCCAGAACGATCAATCGCATTCCCAGGCTGGCTGAGACTGACACAACATCTGGAGGACCGTACTTTTCTGAAACACAAGACTTATCCTGTACTGGATCAATAATCTACCTGTCCAGAAAAGGGTTTCCAAAGTAGCTCTGGAAACGGTTCTGTAAAAAAACTTCTTCCATCACCTTTGCTGTCAACTTCCTTTGGCCATCTTTCAGCTACTCCCTAACACAGTGTTTCTCAACCTTGGCAACTGGAAGATGCGTGGACTTCAACTCCCAGAATTCCCCAGCCAGCAAGCGGGGAAGACTGCCCTAACAGAAACTGTTCCAACAGGCAGAACAGCAGAGGGAGTTAGGGAAAGTAGTTCTATTCTATTGGCTCTTCTGAAAGAGCAGCTACCTACCCCCCACTTTGAACCAAGCTAGCAACACCCACTCCACTGGCTAATTGTGATATGAGCCACTCCTGGGGATCCCCCCCAACACATGCAAATTTGTACACAAGAAACACATTTGTGTACAAATTTGCATGTGTATATGCTTGCCAAAAGCAATACCCCAACAGAACAGAGGGCCAGGACAAAAAATATATCCATATGTGAAGTAAATTAAGAATTTATTAAAATTAATTGCCTGTAAAATAAGGTACCCCGTTTATAAAAATCAATTGACTTCTATCTGTATATACCAACAGCTCTCACACACACACACACACCATTCACACTGCAGAAACATTCAAGCACATACAGACACATTCCTCCCCCCTTGTTCTTTCTGGTAGAAACTCTGATAAAAAAGAAAAGAAACAGACTAAATATGTTGCAATGGGAAGGTGAAGCTGCAAAGGCAAGAGATGGGGAAGGAATCAGGATGAAGATGAAACAAGGGGAAGAGTAACTGGGCAAGTAAGGAAGGATTTCCTTTGTCATGACAAAAAGGGTTAAATTCACCAGGCAAGCAACAGCTAATTTTCAAAGGCATTCAGCTTGGCAGCCCTGATATGTTTACAGCTGAGGGAGTCAGAAAGCTAATCTTCTATATTACCCTTTCATTTTTTGCCTGGTTTGAAGGATTGCAACACATCTCATCTTGTTGTAATCTTCTGCTACACCTAAATCATGGCTACTCAATGAATGCTTGTAGTATGCACACAAACTATGTTTGAACCAGATTCCCAGCCAATCACCCCCCAAATTACTGCTGTAGCCATTCATACATCATACCTGGAACATATACAGGCTGCCGGTCTTCATCTGAAACTAAGTGTAATATCATTCAAGGAAAGCAAGGACAATATTTGTTCTATTCCACTGTTTAGAATCTGAAGATTTAAAACGCATGTCAGGGAAAGATTTCTTCCACCTTAAGATCAACAAATCACAGGCAGAAGACGTAGAGAAATAACTGAAGCAGACATTTCTTTTCATCTACTGACTCTTTAGAACAACTCAGCCTGAATTAAACAGTCGTCTGTTATTACAGACTTGGGCAGCTGGCTCCATCACCAGCATAATGGAGCACTATGCTTCTCTCGGTGAGCTCTGATTATAAAAGGAACTTTGTGAGGCTTTGCACTGATTGCAGGTTTCTAAAACTCTATGAATAGCGAAGAGCCAATCATTTCTCTCGGGGATTTGGTTCTTCAGGAAGGAAATCTGGAGAGGACCACAGAGAGGTCTATCTCTAACACTAGACCAGTGTTTCTCAACTTTGGCAGCTTTCAGATGGGTGGACTTCAACTCCCAGAACTCCCCAGCCAGCCTTGCTGGCTGG